ATTCATCCAAGAAGTTACCTTGTGGTCCTGGGGGTCGATAAACAACTACAAAATGGATTTTAAAAGGGTGGGTAATAGTGACTGAATGTGATTCAAAGGAGCTGCTAATACCCAGAGAAGGTAAAGGAATAAGTGTCCAATCATTAGAGATAAGCAGAACAGTACCTCCACCTCTTCCAGTTAGACGGGGAGTGTGGGAAAAGAAAGAAAATAAATTATTGGAGAGTGCTGCAGGAATAGCAGTGTCCTCTGGTTTGATCCAGGTCTCTGTCAGGGCCATGAGGTTTAGTCTTGAATGACTAGAAATAGATGTAATGAAATCTGCTTTGTTTACTGCAGACTGGCAATTCCAGAGACCAATAGAAAAAGAAAGTAGTGTATTAGCAGACATAGGCAAAGTGCACATGTTATTAGGATTGTGCTGCCTATTGTGTGTGATGCGTGTTTTGTGAGTAGTAGTAATAATCAAAACCGATACTTATGTCCCTTGTCTGTGTCCCTGCACTGTGAAGTCGATGGTCTTTACACTCTTCGGTCTTCACACGAGGGCTGCCGCGGTGTACTATCCTTTTTTATACCCGTTTGACAAACTGGAAATTGAATTCAGCTGAACACACTTTACTGTTTATCACAAAAAAGGGCTAAGCGCATGACACTGACAAGGTACACGATACAGTACGAGACCAAACACAACTTCAGCACGTCTCAACACAGTAAACAAAACAAGTGTTTCCTAGCAACGACAACTGCGCTAAACACTGAGACAAGAAATAAATACACTTATGATCTGCTTTTAACTTCCGCTGATTGACTGCTTCTCTCAAAGAGTATTTCTTTACACTTTTTTTGATTTCATTTATTTTTTCATTCAAGAAAAACAAATAATCAAATGTAAAAATCACTTCAGTGTGTTTATTACAAATACATTGATTAAATAATAATAATAAAAAAAACTACAAAAGCAGTTAAATAAAGAGCAGCAATCTTTTCTTTTATTGTTAGATTACCATTAATGAGACAGACGGCCTATATAGAAAGTCCTACTGTACAGCATGGATCTAATATAATGTTACACATCAAATGTTTTCCCTAACAGTTCCCCAAACGTTCACTTAAGACATAACAGATTATGTTTGTGTGAATAGCTTACTGTAATTCTGTGTATACAGTACACAGAATTGCAAGAAGCGAGCAGAG